GCGAGGCATCCTGGGTAAAAAGTGGCCGCGCGGCACCGGGAGAGCGCGGAGAGGAGCCGGGGTCAGAGGTCAGGGCCCTGGAGCCCCGCGTGCAGAGCCCCCCACGTGAACGTCGCGAACAGGAGGAACCTTTTTGTTTTCGACCGCGCCAGCATGCTCCCCTATTGACCGAGCTGCTTTTCCAGGGCTGCGGGAGAGAGGAGCTCCACCGTGGATCTCCTAACCCCACCCCCCTTCCACCGCCAACACACATCCTCACTCAACCCTTCCTCTCAATTCTCATCCCAGCCCCCCGTCTAGGGCTTGCAATAACGCAGTAAATTTGCTTTAACAACAAGTGGGGGTGGTTGCATTTACTCCTCCCTCTCCTTTCTCCTCCTCCTCCCCTTGCTGCGGCTCTTGACACTACTACAAACCAGGACTATAAACATAAACATGTGTCACTGTAACAGGGCAGGTAATATACGGATTTTGAGGTGGGGTGGGGTGGGGTGGGGTGGAGGGGGGCTGGGTCGCCGCTTGGAGGGCAGTAAAAAAAATCACGTTTCACGTGCTCGACGGCTTTGGGGGCTTACCCCCACGCCGATCTATTTACATAATGCCGGCGGCACTCGGTCACTTACTCAGCCACACAGTCCCACAAAGGCAAACTTGCCGATAACCAGCGTACCCCAAAGCAAATTCATCTCAATACGTATCCCTCTCCTTTCCCAGCCACCGCTGCCATTTCTTGTTTCTATCGGCAAACAGTAGTGTCTATACTTTAACCCCCTTTCCTTTTTAAACATTATCTTCCGGACAGCAAGAGATCGTTTTTCGACCTAAATAGTACACGGCTATTCCCATACACTACCTACACAATTTGTGCCCCGAAACCCCTTCAAACAGCAAGAAATGCTATTGGCTTGAATTAGAAATCTGGTGTGCAAAGGTTATTTCTTGGGCTTTGCCTCCATGCGTTTAGCAACTTCTGCAGCAAGTTGCTGCGGTGCGGTGGAGATTCGCCACAGCAAGCCTTTATTATTATTATTTAGTCTATATTTACACTGCCTCTCAACTTTTTTCTCATTCTTAGTTCAACAAGCTTAGCAACCACTACTTAGGATAAAGTGAATCCCCTGGCCAGCTTTTTGGCTTGAAACGAGGGAGATACAGAAAATGTTCAGATGGGGAAGTGGTTCCCTTTGTTCTTTCATTGTTTCTCTACGAACTGGTGGATACAAGGACAAACACTTACCTTCTCTTCTTTTTGCTCCAAAAGCCAGACGTTCCCATCAGCCTTAAAATACACAATCCACCTTGAAAGTAACTACGAATGTCGGGAGAGTTTGTATTCCATTCTTTTTCGCTCTCTGCCCTCTTTTAGCGTAGGATTAAGTTGCCGAGCACGTTGCTGCAAGCTGTAGCCCCCCGCCTTAGTGAATCGGTCACGTTTAGGACCCTCTAAGTCCATCCTAATTCTGCCAGTAGAATTGAGGGTATTGGAGCTCTGAACTTTCAAAAGGAAAGGGGCCTGCGAGTCTTCAGAAAACTTACAAATGCCCTGGATTTTTTTTTTAACCATCGTATTTTTGCACCACATCACAAAATGGTATTTACCAAGAAACATTAAGTATTTCTTCGAGAAAAGTTATTTTTTAAAAAGCTTATACTTAGTATTGTGCTGTTTAGACAGATGGAGTCAAAGGCAGGTTTGTGTCAGCATTTAACGGAATGAGTGCGTTTTCCATAACGTTTGTTGTGCCATGTGTTTTTTTTTAAAAAACACAAACAAAACGCTGCTACAACTGAGAAAGGAAGGAAATAGAATTTTGGATTAAAATGTTGTGGAACAACTTGAAAAGATGCATTTACTTGAAATTTATTACTGTAAAAAAATTGGCCTCAGAAGCAAAAGTAAGCTTTTCAAAGTCAAGACTTAATTTTCCTTCTGTGATTCCAAAATAAAAAAGCAAATTTTCTGGTTAGTATGTGATACTGTCAGTGTTTAGGGCCCAGCCTGATGGGCATTAGTGTCCAGACCTTGTTTAAATCTGAATATGATGTGATTTGCTGATGTCATGAATATGAAATGATACTTGTGTGTCCATAAATTCAAACTTGGGGTTTTTTTGATCTCCCGCTTTTTTGTGTGTTCCCAGTAGCTGCAGCAGTGAAAGACAGTGATTGGCTCCAGTGCGCCTAGAAGGATTTGGGCTGAAGCCAGGGGAAGAGAACTAGAGGATTCCCTTTCCAGAGACCATCAGACCCCTCATGTCTTGTCTTTCCTCTCTCCCCTCATGGGTGCTCTCCCCTTCAGTGTGGCTGCAGCAGCCCATAGGTAGGCCTCAACACTTAGTGTCATCACTTCAGTTTTTACATATTTGGCCCTTGTATTAAATAAGCAAAAACTTGGGCAAGCCAAATAAATTGTGGTTCTTGATATTTGTGTATTATTTAATATGTGGAGGTTGAACTCTACTTTCCCTGATTTTTTTTTTTCCTGTATTTAGGATCAATTGTGAAAAACCCTTGTGTCTCATAGGAAAATATTGCAACAAAACAAGATAATTGGGGGGAAAGGCGGTTGCCGTAGGAAAAGTGGCTTTTCTTTGATAGCATTTAATTGGAATTAAAAGATTCTTGAGCTGTAAACATTCTTTATTTATTCAGCACACATAAGCAGGCATTGTTTTATCACCATCATAATTATGGTGTCCTTTAAACTGGCTGATAGCAGAAAAGATAAGGGAATGTGCCTGCAGATTCAGATCAAGTCTCACTCCTTTCTTTCATTCCCTCCCTCTGAACTCCTAACTCCCCCCCCCATTCCTTCCTTGGTCACTAGGGTCCCCCACAGCCCTTGAGATGACACAAGCAAGAAGATTGTGGCCTAACCATTTCTTACATCATGAAAGTGATTTGTACCACACTCTAATTTGGTGCAATCCATAACTTCCTTGTCTCCTATGTTTATAACTGTTTTTTAGCTTGCAATATGTGTTATCTGAAGAGTTGCCTATTGCTCACCTGTATAAAATCTCATCCACTAGGGTTTGTTGCTTTACCCTTGTGTAATTTAGAAAGCACACTCTTAGGGCTTTCTCAGAACAAAGCCTCACAAAAAAACCCTTTACCTTCAAGGATTTGCAAATTTATAAAGGCTGCATTGAATTCAAGATGGGTCAGGGGGCATAAAAAGGGTAGAAGGTCACTGCATTTTGATTATGGGTCAGTAGACAACATGGCATATACTCTGTGTCCCAAACTTCTGTTAAAGACAGGATTTTTAAATGCCTAAGAACAGAAGGATGGGCCCTTTTGGAGACTTGCCCTGATTTGTTTGGATGAGACAAAAAGGCAGGGGGAAGTAAGGAAAATATACTAAGTTATCATTTAAGTTGTTTCTCAATTTAGCCATTTTCTCTTCCTCCATTCCCATTTTCCCATCTCAAAAAGCAGAAAAAGTGTGACTTTAGATAAATTTAGCTAATGAGCTGTTGGGATTGTATTGCCCTATATCCTCAACTAATTCAGCCCTATGAGACTTTATTATTATTTTAGACTTTATCTTGCAAGTATTATAGTTACTTCTAGTTAACAATACAAGAGACTTCTTTTATTCTTTTAACCAGTATACTTACATTGTTGAGGCCTTTGTGATGTTCCCTACTCTTTTCTGTCTGAATTCACTTTGAACAAAATGTGCCCAGCAATCACTAAAACAAATGTATATGGTGAAGAGTTAGGGGGAAGGGTGTGATCCTCATTTAAATTATGTATGTATGGGTGAGAGCTTGGAAGGAAAAGGATTATTTTAATGCTCTTCAATACTTTAATTATATGACAGTTGTAGTGTAGAAATGCAAAAGTACTCAGGTTTTCCTTCAGGTTTTCAAAAGAACTTTCCCCATTAGTAAACTACTCCTGCAAATTGCTATTGCATTTCCCAGCTAACCATTTAAAAGACTGTAAATGCCGTGTGCATTACTTCGCTCCAGAGGAAAGAGGTCAGACTGAATTGCAATGGTATTTAAACATAAAATACAGGGAAAATAAATCAAAATAGAGCATCTGAAGGTAAATCTAGCACATTCATATGGGATAAGTAAAGACAAATACGTTCATATCTTCATAGCCCTTCACTTTAAAAACTGAAAGTGCTGATTTTTTACAATAAAGGCAGAAGTTAGTGGACATTAAGAATATATTTCAATCTGGATTTATGCCAGAAGATTTTCCTTTAGCAAGCAGCTTTGTTTTCAAAGCTAAAATACTTTTTACAATAGTGTGTAGATTATGCATCCCTCGCTGAGTAAATAATCACATCCAATTAACAAACTCAATGTATACCATACATATGCCTAAATTCACAATAATTCCCTGGACCCACAGAGAAGGGTGTAAACATAAATGCTAATTTGGGTGGATCATCCACATATGTACATGCATTTGAGAAATACAGAAGTTGATATATCTTTTCTTAAAAAAGAATTTGAATATAGTTCATCATCTGAATTGGGTTCATCTTTGATTGTACAGGCAGCTGACATGGTCAACAAATTTATCAAAGAAACCCCCTGGCTATTGAAGAATAGTACTTTATACATCTGGATCTGCACATCAGGCAAAGTAAGTAAATTATTGCATAACTTTAAACATAATTGATAACAGACACCTTTAATTTTTCATCCCCATTCTTTTGGCCAGCTTTCGCATTAATAATCTAAGCCATAAAAGTTGGTAGCTATTGATCGAAATCCCCAGTGTGCATGCAAATCCATCTTAAAGTCCCCTGCCTTTCATGTGTGAGCGCTCAGGGGCCTCTGCTAGATCTTTTATTGGGATCGACCCCCAATGTGCTTGGAGAAGACCCCGGATATGCAACGTGTGCTGATAACCGCAAGAAAGCTGTCTGTCACATTGTGTGTGTGTGTGTGTGTATGTGTGTGTATATGCACTGGTGTGAGAGTGCTGGAGCCCTAACACGGGTGCGCGCGCGCACACACACACACACACACACACACACACACACACAAAACGATGAGGAGTTAAAAGGAACAAAAGAATTTTTAGACAGGACGAAAGATGTGTAATAGGAGTATTAAAAATGTATAAGTATAAAGGTATCTGAGTGCACATACAGACAAATAGTCAAATACAGACATTTCCCAAATACCCTCGACTTTATTTTTCTCTATTTGACCTAATAGAGTATACTGTTAGTTTTGTAAAAAATAGTTAATATGCTACTAGTTTTCAAAACCACCTATAATGCCAATATTTTAAAGGCGAAAAGAGAAGAAGAGAGAGGAAAATGAGGTAGTTTCGAGATGGCTACTAAATCATGTTGCTATGGGTAGAAGAATTAGGAATTAGGAGAGAGAGAGAGATAGAGAGAGAGAGAGTGAGAGAGAGAGAGAGTGTGTGTGTGTGTGTGTGTGTGTGTGTGTGTGTGTAAATTTAAATGGGAATGAGAACAACTACAACTACCTGGTCAAAAAAACAAAACAAAAAAGAGCCCTCTAGCCAACCTTTTGTACTGTCTTCTCAAAGGCTTTTTCTGAGTTTACTATTTCTTGACTGACTCTTTGGTCTAAATCTTAAAGCTGGGGGAAGGGAATGGGTGGGGGAGGTGAAGGTAGGAGGGAGAGGGCTGGCAGTACTATATAAATGCATCAGGAGGAATTTTAAAACATTATTGTCGTTGGCAATAGAAAGACACTGGTCATTCTACTTTTAAAACAAACACCAGCATCTGCTTTTCCTGGAAACTTCGCTTTCTGCTTAAACCTTGTGCATTTTGCCTCCTGTGAAAGTGAAAGAGAAAAACGCGGTGTGATAGATCCAGATGCAAAAGAAAGCCAACTCGGTGGATGATATTAGCTGTGACGAGGCATTGTTCATTGCTGCCTCTCGGTTACGTTTAAAGCCTGAAATATCACAAGATCCATTCAATGATCCTTCTCTCATTCAAGGGACAAAAATGTAATTTGCTGTAGCTCTGATTTCTTGGATGGAAATGCTAGCCTTAGATTTCAAAGGCAAGAACTAGACATCGCGGTTTGTACACACATTGATTAAGTTGAAGAGCGGCGATTACATCTGTGCTGAGTGCAACAGTAGTCCAGGGCTGACTTTTCAAATCCCAACCTCCTGAGTTACTGACTCTCTTAAATAGACTTCCTTAATTTCCGGATGCACTTCTTGAAATTCCCAATTCTCTTCAAAATTCCTGGGAAATTATAAAGAAGATGGGGGTGGAGGTGGGGGTGGGGAACTATGACCGAGATTTCATCTTGTCAAGCAAACTATCTTTTTGTATGTCTGATTCCTCTGGTTTTATCTTTTTTTTTTTTTTTTTGAGCTATACCTGCTTGTGCTGGCTAGACCAGAGCAGGGAAGCTGGAACTTTTGAATGTGAAGAAATAAATTATTGTACCTTTTTTTCTTGTAGGTTCAGAAAATCCATTTATTATTTTAATCACGTTGATATGTCTATTTTTGGAGGAACAAGGAAACATATAAATGCCTGGTTTGCATTTATGTTGTAGTTGCAAACACCAAACAGTTAAGATTTTGCCAAATTTTGCAAAGCAGCCAACAAGACGCCTTGGGATCCTGGTAATGCAACTGGGAAGACCCTTGCTCTCATTTGGCGACATTTTGGATATCCTTGAAAACGACACAAAAATATGCTTTAATTTGACTAAGAAGAGGTTAAACCACATTGATATTCATCCAAAGTGATTTTGTTAAAGCAGATGCTTGGCTTTCTTGGAAAAACTGGGGGTTGAGTAAGATTCACCTAAACTACCAACCAAAAGCATCACATACCACTGAAATAGTCTGCATCATACATCAGCACTTTCCTTTCGTCGTTATTACGTAAAGCCTCTGGAAGCACCTTGGGCGTTTGACATATTCTTTTCTTTGCCGCAGAAGGAAGCAATCTGCTCCCTGGAATTCTGACCTGTCGTGAACAGGACCCTAGCAAAGGCTGTGCTGGGGACTCTAGGATGATCCCGCCTCCAATCCAGCCCGGTTAATTGTGAAAAGTGTACACATTTCTGGCTTATCTATGCTTTGTTATGGGTCTGACGTGAAACTACCTCCTCCCCACCCCACCCCCCAGTAGAGAACCGAAATCCAGTTGAATTGTTACAGTGTTTCGGAGCTGGAGCCTTGAACTGCTTTCTTGGTCAAATAACTTTGTTTCTGGTTGTAAAAAGGCATTTCGGGAAAAAAAAAAAAAAGAAAGAAAGAAAGAAAATCGAGAGAAATTCCAAACGTGAGTCTGTACTGGGGTGGCTCACCGGGCGGGTTTAACTTTGGAGCTCCCAGCCGTTCTCCTTCCCCACTCCTATAAGGGAAATACCAAGCTATTCTGCACATTTTCGCTTAAGCTCCATTTTCCAACGGAAAAGGGGGGTGGGGCATATGTATTTAGGCTTGATAATGTTTTTTTAAATGCTTTTCTTTGAAATGATAATAGCTGAATCGGTAAAATGCAAATAAAGGAAAAATAGGCAATATTTCTTTAAAGGCGAATACACGGTGGGGTTTTTTTTTTCTTCTTTTTCTTTTTCTTTTTTTTTTCTTTTAGCCTACACACACGGCTTCTGATGAAGTCTGTGAGTCAGGCTGTTTCTGAGCTCCGATAGTTTAATGGAAAGATTTATATACCGACTGTATTATTTACTTTGGGAGGGGAGGTGGCAGTATAAGGGTATGCTAATTAGTGGGAGATTTTGGGGGGAAGGGGTGGAATATCAATTTTTATTGCATCACCTGTCAGGAGTGTCCAATCAGCGCTGGCTTTAGGGGAATTAATTGATGAAGGTGTCTCCGGACGAGCTCACTTCACTCTGTCATTTTATTTGTAGCTAAAGCAGCGGCGGGAATAGCAGCTGCATTTCTTTTCTCTTGCTCCCTTCACATTCCATTATCATAGTGCTCCAGTGGAGAAGGAAGGGATAGAGGGGCCCAGGTACTGATCTGCATCGGGGACTTAGACCAACACACTGGCAGAGCAGAAGCCGGATGGTTTTTTCCCTCTTTTTTAAAAAAACGAAAACCAAAAAAAAAGCAAGAATCAAGTCAGTGTAATTTCATGGGGTTTTTTCCCCCCGTAATTTCGCCTAGAGTTTGGCACTCCCTTCGCCGGGAATAACAGTCTTTGTTATTTTATTAGCAGGATGCCTTGAGACACACGCAGCATCTGGCGGAGGATTAACATACATACATGTGTATGTATGCGTCACGTATATATTTCCTGCAAATGGTGGGGATCATTTAGTGCCCGAGATGGGAGACCTGAAGTCAGGTTTTGAAGAGGTGGATGGCGTGAGGCTCGGCTACCTCATCATTAAAGGAAAGCAAATGTTTGCCCTCTCCCAAGTCTTCACGGATCTGCTGAAAAACATCCCGAGGACGACCGTGCACAAGCGCATGGACCATCTGAAAGTGAAAAAGCACCACTGCGACCTGGAGGAGTTGCGGAAACTCAAGGCAATCAACAGCATCGCCTTCCACGCCGCCAAATGCACGCTCATCTCCCGGGAAGACGTGGAAGCGCTCTACACCTCCTGCAAAACCGAGCGCGTCCTCAAGACCAAGCGCAGGCGGGCCGGCCGGGCCCTGGCCACAAAGGCGCCGCCGCCAGAGCGCGCCGCCGCCGCCAGCCCCCGCCCGGGATTTTGGAAGGACAAGCACCAACTTTGGCGGGGCCTGAGCGGAGCCGCGCGGCCCCTGCCAATCAGCGCGCAGTCCCCGCGCCCGGGCGCCGCCGCCGCGCGCCCCGCCGCCCATCTACCTCAGATTTTTAGCAAGTTCCCCGGCGCGCACTACCCGGAGGTCGTGCGCTCGCCTTGCAAACCCCC